ACCAATTTACCACCGAAGCGAATGAAGGAACTTGTTGTCCCACTCGTGGAGCCGAACCCTCGATTTCTACAATACTCATACTACTACTGTAAAAGTTGAAACTCCGGCGGACGGACGGAGCAACAAAAGGTGGCTCTTCATACTGTATTCATACTTTTTGCATCAGCTCTACATGTCACAGCGTCATTGCTTGGCGCCACCCACTAGCAAGGCACCACCCCCCTTGGCGAAGCTGTCAGTGACTGTTTCTTTCAGTGGTTGCTCAGAATCAGGCAGAGGGTGGGTTTGACTCTTTGGCATGGACCAGTACCAATTAGCACCGAAACTAGCGAGCACGGGAACTGATGGAGTCGGGCCCTCGATCTGTTGCACAACAACAGTAGTACTTCGCACTGCACCATGCCCGCCTCCGAGTATTGCAGGAAAATTTACACCTTATATTTGTAGGCTTGTGGCAAATATTCCTGGGAAGGATGTGAGCAAGGGAGAGGTGCTTTCCGACTACATTGGCTCCGGGCCACCATCTGGAACAGGTAAATGCTACATTTCTTAATACAGTTTCCGACTTTTTGCGCAAAACATGTGAAGAAAAAATAACAAAAGTTGGCGGCCATTCGATTTACACATTTTTTTACGAAAACCAACCCACTGTTGAAATCCTGATTTGCAGGTCTTCATCGTTACGTCTTCCTAGTTTACAAACAACCAGGAAAGATTTCGGATCCTGCACATGGACATCTGACGAACAGATCGGGAGCTAAGCGTGGTGGCTTCAAAATTGCGAACTTCGCAAAAAAGCATAACTTGGGAAATCCAATTGCCGGCAATTTTTATCAGGTAGAATTTGTCAGCCTAGAACTTGTTCATTCTATCTATTGATCATGTTTCATTTCTGTAATTAAGTATAGTGCAATTTTTGGTTGCATTAATTCTATTGTGGGCGGAGATTCTTTTGCAAATAAGCATAGACTGGGGAGGAATCGAACCGTTTTCGTTTATATCCAGACGCCATATGCTATCCACTACACCACGAGTCCTTGTAGTCTTTGTGCCAAAGAACAGTT